ATAGCTTTCTTTAGAAAACATTTCCCTGTGTATTTTTCCTATGTCATCATTTCGCAAGGGAAAATGAGGTCACTCATGTTGAGTGGTATTAACGTGGGTGTAGGTCTATTATTTGAGTCTACTGGCGACCCTTTTGTATTTGTGTGTAATTCTACTTACTATCTAATGGATATGTAAACAATTGAGGATGTGAATTTAGTATGAATGGTAATTGGAATATTTAGTGGACGGGAAGAAGTAGAAGTCATCAAGATTTAGCCTCCGCAGCCTATATGAAAACCCGGCTCATATTCAAGGTCTACGTATACTTATATTAAATCTGTATACTTCCCGTTCGTATGTGAATTATACTCGCCTTGTTACTCGTTATCAATGTGTATCTTTAGCTGCAATTACACTTTCAATCGCCTTTTTTCTCATGGGAAATTTGATTGAATTCTCTTCCCTATCAATATTCTGGTGAACCCACAGGCAAGGAAACATATATGCATAAACTCTAATGAATTAGTATGAATGTACTTTTCCTATAATATCCAAATGATTTTCTAAAAAATTGAATAATGTCGTGTTGAATTACATAAGGTATCGTAGATTTCACTTCAGGTGGTTACTTAATGAATAGCAATTTACGAAGAGGTTTTGAACTCTGCATTGCATGAGACTCTNGTGTGACTTGATGTGTGATTTGATGCGTGACTTGCTGTGTGACCTGATGATTGACTTCATGCGTGTCTTGTTGCGTGACTTGATATGTGACTGATGTATTACTCTATGTATTACTTGTTGCGTGACGTTGTGTGACTTGAATTGCATTGTACCTCACGAGTCTGCGTTGATGGTCGGAATTTGATTGTTGGAAAATGCGGCAATACAGTTAAGCTGCTCGCGTCTCCTCATACCGGAACTCGCGCTGAAATATGTCCTGTAAGACTGTACAAAATTAAATGAAAATCCCGCAAATGCCATAAAGCGGTTAGCTGAATTTCAACGATGGAATATCCCCTCATAGTCACTGTGTTGTATTCATTGCGCCTGTATTCATAGTCATTTTCATTCATTGCGCCTGTATTTATAGTCATTTTCATTCATTGCGCCTGTATCTATAGTCATTTTTGTATGAATGACGCACTCAAAGAAATAATAGGGTCATTGCCCTAATGGCGAGGCTTTTTTGCACTTGCGTGCTTCATCCTGACCCAGTTCGGTTCTGCAAAAGGTCGTAACGGTGCTACTTGTACTGTAGGTAAGAAAGCGTGTCATTATCGGGACAATGCGACCCGGTCATTTTTCCGAGTGCTCGTGTCACGTCTTCCTTCGAGTCATGCGCTGCACTTGCGATCGCACGAAAAGATTTTCCAAAACCGCACTTGACTGGTTTTTCTGTAATTACCTTGCATTGAAAAATTACATTTTTCTAGGAAATACCAAATAATTAACTGTTCGGTGCATTTAAAATTTTTATTGTTTCCTATTGTGAATGAACGACCATTGAGTAACGGATATGTGAGATCCCCCACCCAGCGTCTTATCCCCCCACCTTCCCCTTTCGTCATCCCTCTCAACCACCAACCCCCCCCCCTCACCCAACAAGATCGATGCTGTGCCATGTGCCGCATTGCACCGATCATCCCGTGTATGAGGCGCCGTCATTCACGAGGCTTTGTCATTCACGAGTCTTTGACACTCACGAGTCTCCGTCATTCACGAGTCTGCTTCATTCACGAGTCTTCGTCATTCACGAGTCTTCGTCATTCAAAAGGTTTTTGTCATTCATTAACTCTTTAAGAGTAAATCGCGATGAACAACCCTGAAGGATTATTGCAGACTCGAGTTCCTATACTACAGACTCTCATCCCGCCTGCATACCTATTGCATTATATATAGTCAGCATCCCTTACATGCAACCTATTCACTAAACGCGATTTTTAACTAGAAAATGAATTGCAAGAAATGTGAGTATGTGACCGATATATCTTGCCATTAAAACAATTGTTTTTCTCGCTCTGCCACATTTACATGAAACGATGCCACACTCACATGCTACGCTATGCCACACTCACATTGAGTGTGGTTTTTTGCCACACGCCCATGCCGCGCTCACACTGAGTGTAGTTTTTGCCTCACTCACACTGAGTGTAGTTTTTGCCACACTCACACTGAGTGTAGTTTTTGCCGCGCTCACACTGAGTGTAGTTTTTGCCTCACTCACACTGAGTGTAGTTTTTGCCTCACTCACACTGAGTGTAGTTTTTGCCTCACTCACACTGAGTGTAGTTTTTGCCTCACTCACACTGAGTGTAGTTTTTGCCACACTCACACTGAGTGTGATTTTTGCCACATTATCCCAAGCCACGCTCACACTGACGAGACGCTCGTAAGGGCTAGACAATGTCTGCCAAGTTCTGTCTGCAGCCTTCAACCTTGGTCTTCCTGAAGCGACTATAGTGAGCTTCTGATTGATCGTCGTGTCTTCCCGGCGCTATGGTGAAAAATCCCCATCCTACGGTGATAAATCCCCGTCCTATGGTGATTAATCCCCATTATATGGTAATAAATTCCCGTCCTATGGTGATTAATCCCCATCATATGGTAATAAATCCCCATCCTATGGTGATAAATCCCCATCCTATGGTGATTAATCCCCATCCTATGGTGATAAATCCCCATCCTATGGTGATAAATCTCCATCCTATGGTAACAAATCCCCATCCTATGGTGATAAATTCAAATCCTATGGTGATAAATTCAAATCCTATGGTGATAAATCCAAATTCTATGGTAGTAAATCCCCATCCTATAGTTATAAATCCCCGTGTCCAATGTTCATGAAATTGTGTATACGTGAAACACGTCGTGTATCGTGTCTTAGGCGATATAAACGTCTGTTATCGTGTCGTAGATACTTAATTGATACACGTCGTGTCGTTGACTTGACACGCGTCGTGTGTTCGACTGCTTGTGCCCGCCACTTTCACAATCAGTGTAGGCAATCTCTCAGTGTACGCAATCTCTCAGTGTACGCAATCTCTCAGTGTACGCAATCTCTCAGTGTACGCAATCTCTCAGTGTACGCAATCTCTCAGTGTACGCAATCTCTCAGTGTAGGCAATCTCTCAGTGTACGCAATCTCTCAGTGTAGGCAATCTCTCAGTGTAGGCAATCTCTCAGTGTACGCAATCTCTCAGTGTACGCAATCTCTCAGTGTACGCAATCTCTCAGTATAGGCAATCTGCTTCGTTGCTACACTGTAGGCGCATGAGGCTGGATCGTTGCTACGGATGCTGTATAAATCATAATTAATAAGCATACGCGAACGGTTGAACACATAAATATATCTTATTTTCCACAAGATTTAGAGGTTTTCACAACGTCTTGGTACACACAGAAAAACTAATGGGTCATATAACAAAAAAGTGACAAACTTTCCGCACTGACATACCAAACCTGAGTAAGGATGACCCACATAAGGACAAAAGTGCACTGTAATTTAGGGCTTTAGGCTACACACAATTTGTCATCAAATTAAATTCATATCACTCATCAAAATTAGCGAGTTTTATCCAAATAGCGATACACTTTAGCTTTAATGTGGGTCATCTTGACCCAGTTTGGCCCGGAAAAAGGATGTAATCAGTGCAACACGCCTCAAGTGTGCCACTATTTCGACACTATGACCCATATATTTCTCTGAAGTTAACAATAAAGCTCTGCCATTGTTCTATGCGAAGACTGTAAGGGAGCTTATCAACCTTTACAACGTTTTTATTTTTGCTATTTTACTCTTTAATGTGGCACCGTCGAATTACTTTCCTGCATTAATTTCCTACCACAATAAATGAAAAGTCGAATATGTATATAAAAATTTTTTTCAATGTGAAGCTTTTTCTCGTGCTATCGGGGTAACCACTTTTCTTCAATAAAAAATGAAAAATAGATAATATATCATTAGCCTGCTTCTATTGCAAGCTCACCAAGAACTTGAATGCTTCGAAAACGCGTAGTTATGGAGCATTTGCTAGGAGAGAGTTTCCTTTGCATTTTTGAGTAACTTAGTCTCATAGAAATAAAGATTTATATTTTAAAAGTCTGATAGATTGTTTAAAAATTTAAAAATTGTTTCGGGACCGCTAGAATGGGTGCACTTCTAAATTATAACCGGGGATTCTTCTTTATTATTTTCGATGTGCGGTGCATTCTTTCTTTTGGGAGAACTCTGCGGAACTTGAAATGAGGTCATGAAAATGCCTACAAATACAAGCGGGTGTTTGTATAATATTACTATGTATTTTTTTGTGTGAAGTGTGGTTTTTATGATTTTAAATATTAATTTTAAGTTAAACTATATTAATAATTTATTTTTAATGTAGTCTCGTTCCATAAATTTCGGTGTCCGTAAATGCAGTAATACCACCAGGGTACTTACCATAATTTGTGGTAAACTCAAAAGTTCATCCTGAGTTTAAGAGCATAAAAAACGCCAAGTGAATTGAATAAAGTAAAAGATTATAAATTAATAAAGTACATAATTCGCTTCGCAGCAAAATTCTTTTCTCGTTTCTTAGCTTCTAAATTCATTTCTATGTATTTAAATGCAATATTGCCATGGAGGCAATATTGCATTTAGCCGAGGTAAATATTCTAGTCGAGGTAAATATATATTTAAATATTGCCATGACAATATTTAATTGAAGTGTATTGAAGTGTTTGCCTTTTACTCAGAAAATGAATTGGTCATATTGTCCAAATAATGATACACTACCTGCACCTAGCGCTGATGCGTCCTTTAGCTGGGCAAAACTATTAGATGGCCCTCACAAGGGCAAGAAATGCAATAATATTTGGATAAAGTCATTGAATTGATTAAAAGTCATTAAATTGATTAAAAGCCATTAAATTGATAAAACATCATTAAATTGATTAAAAGTCATTAAATTAATTAAAAGTCATTAAATTAATTAAAAGTCATTAAATTGATTAAATAACCGACGGTATCTGTGCAGCGAGTCAAGCATGTTCGTGTCGCCGCGTCGCTTCATCCTGAAGACTTGCGGTACGACCACACCTCTCGCCTGCCTCCCTCTCCTCGTGTCCTTTGCCTTCCAGTCCTCGGGACACGACGCCGTGCAGGTCAGTTACACGGACGCCGTGCAGGTCAGTTATACGGACGCCGTGCAGGTCAGTTATACGGACGCCGTGCAGGTCAGTTATACGGACGTCGTGCAGGTCAGTTCACGGGACAAGCAGGACGTCTGCAAGTAAGGCAGGACGTCAGGTATTTTACGATGTCTAACGGAAGCGACGGACGAACGCAATGCTTCCTAAATTATACAGTAGAATATTTCTTTATTATTTTCTTCGTGCATCGTAATTGTTTATATTGAATAATTGTGCAGAACTTGAAATGTGGTAGCGAAAATACCTACGATAAAGATAATTCTTTGATGTTATTTGAAACTCGCCCTGTTTCAAGATGTCCAATCACGTACACGCTATAATCAGGTTTTTAAGCTCGACCTGATTATGGTCGTGCAAGTTGCTTGCGAAATGTGACTCCAATTTGCAGTTTAATCCTAAACTTGTTTAAAACCGTTAGTAGAAATTTATTAGATATATGTATCGATGTATTGATTTAGATAATAATCCTAAACTTGTTTATAACCGTTAGTAAAAATTTAATAGCTACGGTATATGTATCGATGCATTGATTTCAATATTAAAAGATCACACAAATGCAGGTAAAGATCTAAGACCTTATATAAATCTAAAATTGATTGTGAATATTTTTCTCATTTTTCTGACTTTGATTTTTATGATTGTGAGTTAATAGCTTGTTCGCATTCTGGACACGAAGAAAAATATGTGGGTTCATAGCTTGTTCGCATTCTGGACACGAAGAAAAATATGTGGGTTAATAGCTTGTTCGCATTTTGGACACGAAGAAAAATAGAAGCTTTTCTATTTTTCTATCAGAAGCGCGTATTGACATAGAGCTGCGTTACGAATCAGCTGCCTTACTAATCATCTACTTCACTAATCGATCGTGCTGCCTCACTAATCGATCGTGCTGATTATAATTAGCACGTTTGAGTTGCTTGCAACCTATGAAAGGAGTCTTTACAAACCCCTAGATCATATAGCAACCTTGCTAGCCTCTGCATTAGCTTTTTTGTAATGAGGTCTTGCCAGCACCGGCGAAACTGGGTTAAGATGACCCAGACAATGACACGAAGTACTTATCTGCTTGACAAAGTGTCACTCATATCTCTGGGTCACTCATATCTCTGCTTGGTCATATCTCTGGGTCAAATGACACAGAGTGTTTTCCTACTTAACAAAGTATCACTCATATCTCTGGGTCACGGTGCTCGTTTTTTGGTGCTGTGGACATTCGCTAAGCACCACTCCTACGTCAGTATTTTGCCGGTTAACTTTAGTGATGAACGAATTATATACCCTCAATTTACAATAGTTTATTTAGTAAGGTATCGTGCGATTCCATAAGAATTCATATATGAAATTCAAGAATTAATCCTATTCTAGAAACTCGTTGCTGTTTAGGTCATGCGTTTCTCGTTTTGAACTACGGCAAAGATGTCGTCGATGTATTTGCAGTTTTGGTCCGCGTATTTATAATGACAAGCGGTTTTCGAGTTTGCATTTGCAGAATTCGGCCAATATTGAATCACAGTGGCCCATGGCAACGCTAGTGTTTAGTCAATAAATATTTTTATCGGGAGTACAGAATGGTGATTCACACAATAAAAGCGAATAAAGGAAAAAGGATCAACCAGAATCGTTTTTTTGTTGGCGTTTGTGTCAAAGGCTTTTGCGAATAATCATGCTTATACAGGGTCCTTCAAAAACAGTATCTGATTTCAATAGGCTTTTGCGAAACTCATACGATACATACAGAACAAGTAATTTTATTTGTGAATAGCTTATTTGATGCCATTTTATATCACTTAGTACACTTTACTTGGTTTTGAAAATTATGTTTGATAAATGATGTCCCCCATTGTTAAGACATTCAATGGGTTAAGATGACCCAGAAAAGGACACGAAGTACTTATCTGCTTGACAAAGTGTCACTCATATCTCTGGGTCATGGTGGTCGTTTTGTGGTGCTGTGGTCATTCGCTATAAGCACCTTTCCAACGATAGTATTTTGCCGGATAACTTTTGTGATGAACGAATTACCCTCAATTTACAATAGTTTATCTAATAAGGTAACGTGCGAGTCCATCAGAATTCATATATAAAATTCATGAAATCATATTCTAGAACCTCTTGCAGTTCCGTCATGCGTTTCTCGTTTTGAACAATGGCAAAGATGTCGGCGTGTGTGCAGATTTGGTCCGCGTATTTATAATAACAAGCGATTTTCGAGTCTGCATTTGCAGAATTCGGTAAATATTGGAAACAGTGGCCCAAGGCTACGCTATTGTTTACTCAATAAATATTTTTTATCAGGAGTACAGATTGGTGATTTACACAACAAAGGCGAAAAAAATTAACTAGAATAGTTTTCTTTTAATTTTTGTATGTGTCAAGGCCTCATGCGAATAATCATGCTTAGTACTTATTTCTAAGGTTTCTATACTTCTGCATGGATCCCTAGTAAACATATTTTCCCACAAAAATGTCCCTGACCTGTCAGAGGGTTTAATACATGTATGTAGGATAAATTTTTGTGATAGACATTCACTGTAAAAACTGAAATTAAATTAAAATATGTTAGTTTGATGCGGAGTTGGTTATTATGTAGGAAAGTTTCAACATTTATAGTGAGATAGCCTAGATAATAGCTCCCAATAATCAAAGTTTTTTTGTAAACAAACCTTGGACTTAGCTATAATGAGCAATTTATTACTTTCTTCTGTTCATTCGGGTCTCCTTGTCTATGGAATGACAAGAAGTATTGTCAGAAAATATAAAAAATATTACTGGTATCTGGGTTTCGTAACACGGAAATCGTTGCGCTTAGAATCTTGAGGTAAATAAATGCTAGAAATCCCCAAGTAGCAATCCACTAAGAAAAACAATATCGTAAGTTGAATAATGCTTCCATCTATCAGAAAACCAAAGGACGATATTATAAAACCATACATATGTTCCTAAAGAAAATATTACCTCTGGAATATAGAAGCAACTTCTTTTATATTCTTCAGGTTTCCCTTCTCCTGGTCTCACGGCTACACTGGATGTCACTGTAAAGTGTCCAAAAAAATGGCCCCGACTTTTCAATTTATTATATCTCCGATTCATATTAACGCACTTTTATTCATTTTAGTTTTCAAAATGTATGTTTAAAAAAGAACTATTCTATTTCTACATTGAACCCTCTGACAGCTCTGGGACATTCTTGTGGCACGTTTATTTTCTGTTTACCAGTATTTTAACTGTAAAAAGTTGACAGATAGAGACTAAGCCTATTTTTCTCATAAGGCCTTGCCACCTTCACCAATCCAAGAAATATTCTATTCGATTTTCTCTGCCTTTGTTCTTCTGAATCGCCCACACCTACATTTGATAACAACATTTATCGACTAAACATCGGCATAGCTAAGGACAGTCGTCTAGTTCAAATATTTATTGAATTCTGATTGTGCACACACGTTACTTATGCTAAACGAAGACAACCGATCGTCACGAAAGTTTATCGGACATCTATTGACTTTGGAAAAGTGCTGAACGAAGTTAGCGAATGTCTACAACGCTACAAATAACAAATGAGGCACCAAACACGCTATCGTGCATGGAGCGTTCAAGAACTGCGCGTCTATATATAGCGACCCAAAGCAAAACTTCCTAATAAATTTGACCCTCGGCTGTCAAAATCAGATAAAAAGCGATTACATTACAAATTGACGAGTCTTATTCAATCGGGCAAAATAACATCATAGGCACAACAGAAACTGTAGCAGGATTTGCAAACTCGAAAAATACTTTGTCCTCGTCACAATACTACTCGAACTAATACTTTGTCCTCGCCACAATACTACTCGAACTAATACTTTGTCCTCGTCACAATACTACTCGAACTAATACTCTGTCCTCGTCACAATACTACTCGAACTAATACTTTGTCCTCTTCACAATACTAGTCAAACTAATACTTTGTCCTCGCCACAATACTACTCGAACTAATACTTTGTCCTCTTCACAATACTAGTCAAACTAATACTTTGTCCTCGCCACAATACTACTCGAACTAATACTTGTTCTCGTCACAATACTACTCCTACTAATACTTACCCATATCACAGGACCTGTACTACTCACGCAAGAACTTCAAGCGGCCAGAACTTCAAGTGTCTCCTCATCGCAGCTTCAAGGAGGAGGCCGCCATCTTAGACGCTCTCTTCTCCAGTTAGTGTTTGAATACATTTAGTTTCCCCTTCTGAATATACAATGTATTCATTGAATTTATTCCGAGCTCATATCCGTTTGTTGATTTTGTTATGCATGCTATTGTTCTGTAGCTTTCTTTAGCGGGAGATATGGCCTATCATGTCACTCAGATTGTTAGCGTCTTGCACCGTGAGAAAATCAAGTATATTATGCGTTAAAATGCATTTATGACTTATTTTCCCGTAATGAACGCTACTCTGATGAGAATATTGTTTTGCCAAATGCACGCATAAAAATATAAATATCATGCTTCGTCACTATGTTTTGAATAATGTTAAACATGCGGCGGGTACGTGACACAAAATATATCAATTTTATAGTTTCACAAAATTTTACAGTACTTAAAGAAAAATTTACAGATGGCCGTGGATACTGCAAGGGATGCCTGACCAGAGTAAACTGCTACAAAATAATATATTCGCTGAAATATCCGTTTTATTTCTGCAGTAATAAAATATTTGTTTAATTTCTGCACAAATAAAATAGCAAATATATTTTTGCACTGACAAAATATATATTTTATTTCTGCAATAATTTAACTTTCTTGAAGAAAAATTCCCCGATTGCTGAGCATACTGCATGGGTACTGGACAACCTGATTAGGGGGTGTACTGTTACGACACAATGCTGAAAATTCATCTTATTTTTGAAATGGTAGAAGATATGTTCCATTTTTGCTATAGATTTAGGTTTAATGAAGACAAACTTGCAGACGGGCGAGCATACTGCATGGGCAGCCTGAACAGAGCAGACTGCTGGTACCTGTACACAGCCTCCCTCTCTGACGGCACCGCCGCTCCCCTCGCCCTTCGTAACGACCGCGCCAAGAAACACATGGAGTCTGACCAGACACTCGAGGTCCTCATGACGGATCTGGATAAGGATAAAATGGCACACTTCTTCCAAGTGAACTGTGGCTCTGCTGCTGAGGCTACCAGGGTACGCTGACGCTGAATATAATGAGTTTTATTGTTGCACAAAATTTTACAATTTAGGAAAAATTTACAGATGGTCGTGGGTACTGGGACAGCGCTTGTGTTTGGTTTTTCCTCATATTGTATTATATTATTTTCAGAGAAAAGGTCTCTTCATTCGGGTATATTTGAAAGCTAGAGGAAAATATACAAACATTTTTGTTTATTTATCCATCATTTATTATATATGTCCTTCCATTTATTGAACCATTTTATTTGAAAAGAAAAATTGTGTTCAATTTGGGATCTTTGATTGGTAGAGGAAATCACTTTTTTCTACATGTTGACACATAATTTGTGCATAAGGATATGTTTTGATAAGGAAACAATTAAAATAAAGATAGCTCGTTGACAATTTTGTGTACTTGGGCCAATTTGAGATAGTTCGTCGAAATTTTTTGTGTACTTAGATAGACCAATTTGACTCGTGTTTCTGTTAATGTTTTCATTATCTCGTTTTTGCAGCGGTCTGGCATCGACAAGCTGGTCCCTGGGGTCGTGATCGACGACTACCTCTTCGAGCCCTGCGGCTACTCCATGAACGGCGTCATGCGCTCTGTGCCTGTCAGTTGTTTACCCTCCTTCTTCTGTAGCTTCTTTACCGTCCTCAGCTTAAATCCTCCCGTCTTTTGGCTTCTTTACCGTCCTCAGCAATCCTCCTGTCTTTTGGCGCAAATTTTTGAATTTTTCCTCTCGCAAATTCTGAAAATATCTGATTTTTCCTGCAACTCTTCACTAGTTGCATCGTCCGAGTGCGGTTCACCTATTAGGACTGATCTCTTAACATCTTCTCATCTAGATTATTTAACCTGGATGAAGGATAAATTACTTCATCAAATAGATATGGTTCTTTCTACAGCAGTTCCCCTACTAGAATCTTATAATAATCGGCATACTTGTATCGCATTGCTATGCCATTGTATGATGCTACATGTATTCATTTACTTCTAAGTGATCCGCGTCATGAATATAAAGAATTAAAGATTAATGAGAACTATTTCCAGAATAAATAGATTAATGAGAACTATCTTAGAGCTACAAGATTAATGAGAACTATCTTTGTGTACAGGGAGGATATATGACCATCCACATCACGCCTGAGCCGGCGTTCTCGTACGTATCCTTCGAGACAAACATCCCACAGAAGTCCTACAAGGACCTCATCCTGCGCGTGATCAAGACCTTCGGCCCCAAGCAGTTCGTCGTCACCTTCTTCAGCAATAGTGTATGTTAATTACCTCAAATGTGACAGAATATTTCTGTTATGTAATTACTATCAATATATGAAATCAGGATACTAAATGTCTCGAGTATATAGTTTCTAATAATTCTATCACTAAATAATATTTGCTAGTGCTGGAAGCAAACCCCTTCGATGTTTTGTGATTAGTTTAATGGTTTTTAAAGGAACTTTTACGCACGTATTAAAAACAAATATTCTCAGTACATATCACTTGTCCGATCATCTTGTGTATTCGCCATGGTTATGTCTCATTATCTCAATGAAGATTTTCAACCATGTAAACTAATGTTAGCTTGTTGAAACACTAAATTCATAATTTTTCAGGAGACTGGCACCCGCCTGGGAGAAGAGGATAAGTGCCAAGTTCCCCTGTGCCACAACTACGATGTGTCAGATGTACAAGTGTGTCAGCTGCCAGGCTACGACCTAACCTACGCGCTCTACAACAGGACTCCCAGTTAGGGACTCGTTCCCGCGGCAGACCCGACCCTCTCTCTCGCCATCATTTTGCTGCTCTGCCCAATGCCATTATCGTGTTTAGTCGCTAAATTCATCTTCAAGGGTCGCGGTTTTTGCCTGAAAGGAACTCGAATTCTTGTGAAACTTCCGCCTACAATGGAAGATTCTCAAGAAATTGAGGAAATTCCTGCAGATAGTGATTGCGTAGAAATTAGTTTTTGTTTGAGAAAATTTCGTCTTCCTTCTGCTCATCTTTTGGATTGTATATCTCAGTACGAGCTGAGCCAAACTATCGCGTGCGAGTCTCTCGACATTCTTTCTCCGACACCTGCTGATCAGCAAGACTTCCAGTTGATCTCCATCTCCAAAAAATCACTGGGTCTCGCAGACTTCATTGAACCATTGGTTCTATCAAACTTCATTGAACAACTGGGTCTCTCAAACTTTAATGAATCTGTTTGTCTCATGAGTTCCAATAAATGTCTGGCTCTTTCGGCTGCCAGCGAGTCTCAGGAGGCTGATGGCTCAAATTTGAACGAATCTCTTATTCAAACAGAACCTTCAGCTCCAACTTATAGTGACCCAAAAACAACGTCGACGGACTCCACGCGATGTTCGGTGCTCAAGCAAGCCTCAACGAGGCCTAAACAGAGTTATCTCCTCGAGATGCTCATGAAAGAGAGAGTGGAGAGGAAGACTAGGAAGAAATTTAGTCGCAGAAAACGTGTAATTGTAAAGAAGAAGCAAAAGAAACCGCGCGGTAAACTCAGACGGAAGAAGCGTCACTTTTTCCATGAGCTATCTAACGAAGAAATGCTAGACGTTTCTGATGCCTTCAAGGCTCAAAGCATCACCAAAAACTTGAATGTCGAAGTTGAAAATTTGATCGTTCCCTTAGCAGAGCAGCAAGATGATGGAGCAGAAGTGGGTGAGGAACTCGGAGAGTGTGTGTCGAGTCTGCCGCTGCCTACACAAATTAATCGCGTGTGTGTAGGCCATGTCGAAGATCTAAGCAATGATTCTTTGTGCGTTGATGTGTCTTGTCCCAAAAATGCAACTCCGTGTTTTGAGAATCGTCCTCGTAGAGTTTTGGGCGTTCTTAGGAAAGCAGAACACAAAGCAATAAGTTTTTCGGAGCTTCTCGCGATGAGCTTCTTGCTCATTCTAGGCTTGTCTTTTTGTGACTTGAGCTTGACAGCTTGTTTCAGTATGGTTACCTCCCTGGCTTCAACCTGTGTTTATATTACGGACTTTTCTCGGAACATTTCTTTAAAGAATAAGCGTAAACAACGCAGGAGCTTGAGTGTGTTCTTCTCAACTTTTGAAAATGACTTTACTCCTCGCTTCTATAAGGAGTGTCTTTTCATGACAGATGTTGAAGACTCGAGGCTGCCTGCATTCATTCGCCCATCTCGCCCCTTCTGGAAGAATATTTCCTTCCGTTGGTGGTTGGATGCAATTAGCTGATAAGGCTTAGTGTTACTTGCGCTGACAATTTTATACCATAACTGGCATGGTCATGTCTCGTATACGAGACTTGACTTAACTCAAAGTCGTGACGACTAGCGACTCAAGTCGTCTTAGGAGATGCAAGTCTCCTGCTGCCAGCTACACGTCATCGGGCAGAGAAAACCAAGGCGACTGCCAACGGCTGCTGTGACCTAGCGCCCATGCAACAAAACCTGCGAGTATTTCGGGCTTCTTTGCTCGCGTTGCTGATCCGTCAAAACGACTTCAATCGGCGCCATTTGAAGTTATGAGTTTTCTCAAGTGTAACTTGTTGAAAAGAATTCGTTTTTAGTATCCTTATAATTTCTGCTAAATTACAATTATGTTGGTATATTGTCATTGTGTTTTTAATATTTGTAATCTGCTCTACTTCTGGTATTTTTTAGGTATAGACTATAAGCAAAAAACTCCAATTGCTTTGATTTCTTCTAAATGTTTGAATCGTTTCGACTTTTAAATAACAAGTTTCAATTATTTGGGTGTTTTAATAACCCGGTGTATCTGGGAGATTCAGTTGGTCCCTTGAAGTAACCGTGCTAGCTGTGCGGGGATTTCTGCTACAGGTTTTTTCGCCGTGCTTTATTAAGTCATATATAATATATGTGTTTATACAGAATGATGAAATATCGGGTTATCTGGAGCATCAAGATGTGGTACTGCTGCTTGTTAGTCAAGAGACAGAGATTGAAGGATTTTAAAGGGATTTATCTCGCCATCGTCTTCATGATCGCAGGGTTTATAATTCATGCCTGTATTGAAATGAGATCTTGCAGGAATGTAAATCAAATCGAGACGAAATATTTATTCGAAGTAAGTTCCGTGTGACTGTTAGAAGCGAAGGAAATTATGGCATAAGAAAATGGCTGCGAAATTTTATTTTACGATTTAAATATTAGTCGTAATTGCACTTATAGATTTAATGTTGCACATAAATCGCATTTATCTAATTTTCTTCTCTCATTTGATAACATAGATGTGTAGCGATGATAGTGTTGAATAGGTCAAATATGGCGTGTCACCGTTTCTTTACAATGCAGAATTGTAATAGCTTGCGGTAGTTTCGAACCCGCAATTCACAGCTCAAATACTGATATGCTGAACTACGATAACCTCTTGGCCACTCTGATTATAACGCATAAATTTCTTCCATTCCTCGAAAGTGTAGCTGCTCACTTTTATTGTTTTCTTTGATTAATTCATCGTTTTTTGCATTTAGAAAATGCAATATTTAGATAGATTAAAATTACGGATCACATCTGACAAGCAGAATTTCCACTGATTCCAGCCTTCCAGGCTTCATGCACTCCAGCGCTCTGATTTTTTCTGGCAGATGGCACGTCGTTTGGTTTCATTGAACTTTGACCTTCGGAGTTTGGACCACTGATAGTGCCTATTGATTTGGTGCGTATCTTTTACTTTTAAAAATTAACTGAAGTGCTCTAAATGTTTAGGTATGATAATGTTATGTTTATGTCACGAAGATAGACTAATACTATTTACCGCCAGGCGCCCCGCGCCAATGCCGAGGCGATAGCCTTGATAGATGGTAAAGTTTCCAATGCAGTTTAGCTAGGTACCTAGTCGACTGAGGGCTGAGGCCAGGCTCAAAAACAATCGATCTATTCTATAAACAAAACCGAACCACATTTTTCTAATGCAATTAAAACAGCTATTTAGTTTGCATGTGGATGTGCCTGCAGCCTATGATAATGTTGTAACTTTGTAAGTAGTGTCCTATTAACATGATTTTGTACCTACCTAGCACTAGCAGTAACCTAGGTAGTACCTAGGTACCTACTTAGCTAGGCCTATGTTAATTGTTAATCAAATTTTCATCACTCAATGCGTCATGTAAGTAGGTAGGTAACCCCGCTAAGCGGCGCTAACCCGTCAACTTGATAATGAATGATAGGCCTAGGTAGCATTCAAAAATGTTAATGAAATGAAAATGTCCATGACAGTGCATCTGCATAAAGCAATTTGGTTCAAAATAATTGCCAAATCACTAAAATATAAAGATCAAGAATTGAAGAACCAAAAAATTTTGGTGCTGTAATTCTTGATGATTTTGTACTCAGTAGGGTAAACGCGGTATATTCCGACATCGTGGGTAATTCCGTCACCTCTTTAGTTTTTCCTTTATAATTTATATTAAGCTTTGTTTTAGTTCCATGCGTTTGTTGATGGTTGAAATGGTGACGTCATACATTTGCGCGTCAAACTAATGCCAAAACACTAGGTCTTGGCCATCTAGTGGGAAAATATTGAGATCCAAAGAGAGACGATGCACGCTACCCAGTGAAAAAAAAACACCCTTTTTTTGGATGTAGTTAATCTGCAATAATACCAAAAATTTTGGTGCTATAATTCTTGATGATTTTGTAATTGAGTTGATGACTGTTGATCCAAATTTCATTGCTTCAATGGCCAATGGCCAATGCATCTGCTGTCTTTGTAAATTACTTTCCCTCATAAATTAATTTACAAATTAATTACTCTGTTGGAAATTAATAAAGAATGATTGATACTTTTTATATATTGTTTACTAAATAAAACTATTAGTATACTGGTTTTTGATTTATGAAATTAGGAGTGCAAACAAAAACAGTGTTTGATATTTTGAAAAAACTAATGATAAAATTGCCAATAGAACAAATTCTTTGGTCTTCCATCAAACCATAAAATCCAGTCATCCTGAATTTTACCCTGAGAGCAAGAAAAGAAAATTCATACTTTATTTGTTTGTAGTAAAATTCTGATGTTCCATTCTAAAATGGAATTTTTTTGCTGAATTTGGAATTCAGTAGATTGATTATGCACTTTAGTAATTTAATTGAGAGTTAGATTGTAGTCAGGACATACCTATTCATTTAGCCAGAATCATGCAGCTATGAAAATAGCAGGAAGGGTTTTCAAACCTCTATTCCTGGCTTGGAAAGTTAAAATTTTAGAAAGTAGATCCAACCTAATCCAAATCACTGAAATCAGACTATAAGTTGGCAAATACAAGGTCGAGATTATCAATTAAACATTTTAGGTGCCACTGTGCCATCACAGCATCACTGTGCAGGATGTTTTGGTAGAATAAGCATGGCAAGCTAGTGAAGCTACTGAAGTGCAATTGCGCGAATATCAAATTTCATGGAGCGAGTGTCAATGACATATTGGCAAGCCACAATATTTCTGGTCAAACCAAAATACCTGACTTTAACCCCTTTTTGAGCTGCAAGATTTCATATACACAGAATAAAATGATACAATATTGCAGCCATAATATTTCAGAAATGGTAGGATTTTCCCTGTCCTATGACTGTGACATCTGTGAGGCTATTTGTACAGTAGCTTTCCAAATGTTACCCTGGACTTCAACTTGATGGTCATTAATAATAATATCAGCTAGAATTTGTTCTGAATTTTAAAGACCAGACTGCAGTGCTAAACTGCCTAATCTTCTGGTTTATATTGCATTTATTTCTAATAGTTTATTCAATACAATCTTCAATTCAATATTCAATCTTCAATTAATTCAATTCAATCTTCAATTAATAAAATTTCTCCTGGACCCTTAAGTAATGAGATATATTATTTTGAATGAGTAGTGTACTTATATACAAATATTAAACCAATTATTAAAGGGTTCTGTGCTTTCTATGAAAATACTGGAAATAATCTCTGCACACTGCTACAAAGCCAGCTATAGCTATTTACTTTCAGTAGAAGGGAATGTAGAATAAATTTATTTACTCACAACTCTTATTTTTTCAGATTGTGCGTAACTGTCATTGAGCGCCTGGACCTCTTTGCGATGGCAAGCAAAGATCCAACAGAGCAAAGTTTAAGCCAACACAGAAATGAAGCTAATGGTGTGAGATACGGTGCAACTTCTGCTCAGAGCCGCAGGCAGTTGAGACACTCCAGTAGCAATGATGGTGGCAGCAGTAGCAGCAGTCCTCCTGTTTCCTTTGGCTCAATGCCAGCTTCACTTGACCCTGGCCTTCAAATTGAACTGTCAGCTGCTGTGGCTGGGGTAATTCCTGATGGTGAGTCATCATAAGTTTCATCATTTTGACACACATTTACTTAGAATCACTAAGTAGTATTCACTTTGTGATACACTAAATAATAGGAGAAAATTTTGTTAAATTTAAGCATCTTTTATTTCAAGGTTGCTGGAGTACTTGATTTTTTCACATACTTTTTGAGCTTTGCCCCAGTGATGGAGAGTGTGAATGTCAATCAGTGATCTCTACATGTATATTTTAAGCATGTATCATTGTACATATATTTGTACATATATTGAGATCATTTAACTAGTTTGAATATCTCTTAATTTTTCAGACACATTCACTGTGGACCAAGCTGTCAATGCTCTGGGTTTTGGGAAGTTCCAGGTAAGTGAATAGTACGGTATCCTTGGCTATCTCTATTTGGTCTAATGGAATAGAATTGAATTTTTTATTGCTTTTTATCGGTAATATTGAATTTTTTTATATGAAGCATCTACCTATATTCAGAAAGTGACGAGAAAGGAAACGAGAAAGGAAACGTACCTATTTGTAGTCATTTGTTAATATGTAAGAAGTATTTTTACAAGTATTTCTTTTAGCTAGCAATATCTTTGGAAAATCTGTCAATGTAGTTAAGCTGCAAGATGAAATTGAAAATTAATTTTTAATTGGGAATACAAGTGTCAAAATTGTTCTCTGACAAAATGAAAAGAACTGTACAGTTAGACCATGTACATATCTGTTGACTCAAATGATAAAAGAAAATTTAGCCTCTCTCCCAATGAACCACTCTGCTAACTAAGCTTCTGTTCACTCGTGTTATTTTTCATTTGCAATGTCAGTAAATTAAAATTATAGTTTCTCTTCAATAATAAACCCATATTTTTTTATTAAATTTGCACATGTCAAGGAGAAATCTCTTTTGAGAAATTGAATGATATAAAAAAATGAAAACAATTATTAATAAAATGCATTTCTGGTTTTCAATCAGTTTCGCATCAGAAAACTACACCTGCTCAGTAATATAAAATGATTTACTAATAGTTGAGTTCAAATGATGCAGGTGAAGCTCTCTCTCATCACTGGGCTATGTTGGATGGCAGACAGCATGGAGATGATGATACTTGCCATACTCGGGCCATCCCTACGCTGCACATGGCATCTCTCCGAGTGGCAGCAGGCTGGCTTCACTACAGCTGTCTTTCTAGGTCACTTTTCAGTCCAGAACTTTTATCAGTTACCTATAACTGCTCTTTCCTTAACCATTTATCACTGCATAATTTTATTAAGTAATAATTGTAACTATTGTAGGTACAGATACTCTATGCAACTTGAGAAGGGTGAAGTATATCTATACCTACGTAGGTTGTCACCGAAATCTTGCAAAAGTTTTGGTGCAAATCAAAATAAGAAACTAATTGGCATCATAATTATCATTTTTTTAAGAATACATAGCTTATTATCATCGCAATTTGTATATAAATGTCTGGTAAGTAAAGTTGCTGTTAGTAGACAAAAAGTAAATAATTAAATTACTTTTTTATATCATTCATTTAACCTATTTACAAAGACACGAGTTTGAATTCACGGTTAAGTGACATGAAATCAATCAAAAACTTAGCACCTTGTTTTAGAAGACAAGTCCATTTTAATATTGCTCTATTATGCATTCATATTACCCTTGTCTACAGGCATGATGTTGAGTTCATCATTTTGGGGCACACTGTCAGACAAATATGGCAGACGTCGCTCCCTCGGCCTCGCCAGCGTCCTGCTGGCGTACTGGGGCCTCATCTGTGCCTTCGCTCCCACCTTCGGATGGCTGCTCCTCCTTAGGGCCCTTGTTGGATTTGCTATTGGCTGCATACCACAATCGTGAGCAACCACATGTATTGCTTATTGTTCTTCATGCCACAATCGTGAGCAACCACATGTATTGCTTATTGTTCTTCATGCCACAATTGTGATCATAAACTTGTATTGATTATTATTCTTCATATAACAATAGTGAGCAACCACTTGTATTGCTTATTATTCTTCATAACTTAATAGTAAGCAACCAGTTATAGGTATATTATGCTGCATCTTTTCCGTCAAATTGCATGATCTTAGATTAAATTTTGATTTAAGGCCAAAACAAAAATGAGCTTTTTGTTGTTGCTGAAAGTACAATATTAAAAAAAGAGAAGTGTTGTAAAAAACACTTTAAGCTGGCTTTACGAATAAAGGCTTGTCATGTGAGTGACCCATAGGTATTATTTGTTTCGATTCTCTTTGCTTATTGTGTGCATTATTGCTTTGATCTTGCAGCTCTGTGGTTGTTTTTTTTGCCTGCTGTGCAGTTACTTTGTGGAATTTTTTATTTATACAAATTTAATTTTTATTTATGAATATTTAGCAAATGTTGCCTCTTTACATGCTTGATTATGGAACTAATATTGTTTTACTCTTGCATTATTCACTGAGCTTTAAAACTGAAAACATTTACTACGCCGCTTTATTTGCCTTTGAAACAGAGTAAAAATGCATTGAACAGATTGTATTTAATACTTACTACCTACACTTAGTGATCATGAGATTTGTTATTTATTTTTATACGTTTTGCTTTCTATTGATGTGGCGTGCTTTGCTCACTGTGTTACCCTATATGCTGAGTTTACCCTATTTGTTCACTCAGTTTACCCTATTTGTTCACTCAGTGTTGCCCTATATGCTGAGTTTACCCTATTTGTTCACTCAGTGTTACCCTATATGCTGAGTTTTTGCCTGCAAAACAACGAGGAAAATGTGTCGTCTTGTTGGATGTGAGTAACGTGCATTTTATTGCATGATTTTATTATTCATCTATTTCTTGTTGAAATGTTTACTTCTGTTGATGATCAAGTATACTGCTGTAATAACGTGATTTTTTTATGTTGTACAACTCAATGAGACTAACCACTTGTGATGGCTTTTCTCTAAATTTCCATTATGATTACAAATAACTCAAAATCATATGAATGAATTTCTGAAGATAAATGACCTCAATGAACAAACTTGATATTGTTCCCTGATCCTTGCTCCTCCTAATGGAATAATGTCTTAGTAAGTCAGTCTTATCAATCTTCTTTTCACGATGTTTTTCATTTAAGAGAAGTTTTTATAATTAAAATATGAGATATATATTGTGATTGATTGGATATTTGTCATTTTAGTACAGATTAACGAAATTTGGTCTTGGTGACGCAACTCAAAACAGGATGAAGGCTCTAGACGTAAAAATGTTTTGAATTATGATATAGAACCGAATTGCCTGAGAAACAACTTGCTCATTTTCTTTCATTACTGTATAATAATTGAATTGATCAATAAATAACCTGATAATTTTGTTAGCATTATTGTATAATAATTACGATGCTTGATAAATAATATTTTTTTTAATACATATAATATTTACACATACATTTAACATTTATTTAATAACATTTAAATTTAAATAAATGAAATTCACATCATTAAATAACTTGCTAATTTTGTTAGAATTATTGTATGGTAATTACATCGCTGGATAAAAAACACGTCTCTAATATGTTATTATTATATTAGCATAATAGTTCTGAATTGTTTATTACAATAATTTCAGTATAAAAATTCTAACGTGTTTATTACACTAATATTAGTATAATAATTCTGACGTGTTTATTACATTAATATTAGTATAATAATTCTGACGTGTTTCTTACAATAATATTAGTATAATAATTCTGAACTTTATCACAGTTTTTCTGGGCACTAGGCGCGTGCATGATTTTGATAATTAAAAAATGAGATAGGTATATATTGTGATTGATAGTGTATTTGTTATTTTAGCATAAGTTAAGAAAATTTGGTCTTGGTGATGCAACTCAAAACAGGATAAAGGCTCAAGACGTAATAATGTTTTGAATTGCCATATAGAGTCTAATTGCTTGAGAAATAATTTGCTCATTTCTTTCATTTCTGTATAATAATTGAATTGCTCAATTAATAACCTGCTAATTTTCTCAGTGTTATTGTATGATAATTAGGTTGCTTGATAAATAACATTTTGATTTTGTTATAATTATTGCATATTGATTGAATATGTCAATAAATAACTTGCTAATTTTGTTGGTGTTATGGTATGATAATTACATTGATTGATAAATAGTGTTTTTATCCTGTAATAAATATTGCATAATTATTCAATAGCTCCATTAATAACTTGTTAATTTTGTTAGAATTATTGCCTGGTAATTACATTGCTTGATAAAAACTTCATTAATTAGTTACAATATTAGTATAATAATTTTGAACTGTTTATTACAATAATATTAGTAAAATAATTCTGACGTGTTTATTACTGTGTTTCTGGGCACTAGGCGCTTGCATGTTAGAGTTATTGTCTCTCAATCACATTGCATGATAAAAAACTTCATTAATTAGTAAAATATTAGTATAATGATTCTGAACAGTTTATTATTACATTAATATTAGTTTAATAATACTGCAATGTTTATTACCATAATATTAGTCTAATAATTGTGAACTTTCTGACAGTGTTTCTGGGCACTAGGCGCGTGCATGGAGGTGGGGCTGGCTATGCTCGTGATGCCCTCCTTCGGCTGGCCTGGTCTGCTCGCCCTCAGCGCCCTGCCCTCTCTGCTCTTCGTGCTCGCATGGCATGTGCGTGCAATATTTATACGTGTTATTTATAGAAAATATTAAGGTAGAATATTTATCAATGTTATTTATAGAAATATTAGGGTAGAATATTTATCAATGTTATTTATAGAAAATATTAGGGTAGAAAATGTATCAATGTTATTTATATAAAATGTTAGGGTAGAAAATTTATCAATGTTATTTATAGAAATTGTTAGGGTAGACAATTTATCAATGTTATTTATAGAAAATGTTAGGGTAGACAATTTATCAATGTTATTCGTATAAAATGTTGGTGGAATGTATTATTTTAATGTTGCTATTTCTATCCTAAAAGCTATTTCTGTTAAAAGCTAGAAAATGTATCAAATGGATGTTGTTATTTATTTATAATCTGCAAATTGTGTCATAAATTCTTATATTTCTGTTCAAAATTTAGAATTCCTTTCGAAGTTAGTGAATGTATCATTTATAATTTTTTATTTTTTGTCATGCTATTAATTTTATCATTCTAATTTATTTATTTCAATTTAAAATTAAAAATTAAGCCTAACAGCATTAAAAAGAAAAAATTTGGGATGATGGGCCACCGCTTGCTTTTGAAACTTTTTAATGAGTTATCGTGTTAATGAGTTTTTTAATGGAATGAGTTATCTTAGCAACAAAATGGTGTAATAACTTTAAATGCTGAGTTGAATTTTTTATTTTCCATGATTTGTTTCATGAATTCTGAAAGTTTATCTCTGTTGCCCCAGTGGCTCCCTGAGAGCGCCCGCTACGATGCATCGTCCGGGAATTCAGAGAAAGCTTTAGCTACGCTGCAGAGCATCGCCACGCAAAATGGCAAGTTTTATATTTAATTTATAAATAGTTATTTCCATTATCATTGATTTATTATTGTTATTATCTTGGATTTATAGATGATTAATTTAATTATCTTTGATTTATTATGGTCACTGTCTTAATCGTTGTTGACTTCTACAGTGAAAGACTTGATGCAATCAAATAGTGCTAATAATTATATGATTAGTGCAAATAAATATAATTGTTCTTTGTATTCATATGATAGCATGTCAAACGTAAAAGTCAGCGTCAGCCATAAAGTGTTAGAATTTGTAGGCAAGACGAAAATTTGTAAATTTAATATAGATACCGACATAATATTTATTGATGATAACAAAGATATTACCGTTGTATAGATACATCAGTTCTGTGTGTGGTTGATAAGGTTGCTCTTAGGTCTCGTGCAAGAGAGGGAGAATAACAATAATAATAACAGCTCAAACCCATTGAAATTTTAGTACCTGTATGTTGTACGATAAAAATTCCTTTATTCGCAAGATGGATACTAGCATGTTTTTTTGTTCACCTTAAGGATGTTAGTATGACATTTCATGGTCTAGAGAGGTGAATGTACGTCCTTTCCAAGAAATAATTACACCTCATATAATAAATATACTAACATGCTAGATTATAGGAATATAACTAATAAATAATAATCCTCGTTATACAGGACAGCCGATGTTGCTCGGACGTCTCATCGTGGACGACATGGCGCAGATAAGCCGAGGCAGCGTCAGAGACTTGCTCCTACCTCCTCTTCGCTGGACCACCCTGCTGCTCTGGTTCATCTGGTGCGTGCACAATGGTTCTTTTGCCTGGTGCATTATGGTTCATTTGGCTGGTGCATTATGGTTCATCTGGTGGGTGCACAATGGTTCATTGGCGTTTATTCAGTGGTTCATTTGGCTGGTGCATCATGGTTAATTTGGTGCGTCCAGAATGGTTCATCTGGCGAGGTCAAAATGGTTCATTTGGCTGGTGCATTATGGTTCATTTGGTGGGTGCACAGTGGTTCATTTGGCTGGTGTACAATGGTTCAGTTATTTGAGTATTTTGTTGATTGAAGCAACAGAAGCATGGATAATTTGATGGGTAAAACATGGCATATAGAGGCAGCGTCAGAGACTTGCTACTACCTCCTCTGCGCTGGACCACTCTGCTACTCTGGTTCATCTGGTGCGTGCAACGTGGTTCTTTTGCCTGGTGCATTATGGTTCATTTGGTTGTGCATTATGGTTCACTGGCGTTTATACAGTGGTTCATTTGGCTGGTGCATTATGGTTAATTTGGTGTGTGCACAATGGTTCATCTGGCGCAGGTCGCAGTGGTTCATTTGGCTGGTGCACCATGGTTCATCCATTTGTTGAGTGAAGCATGTATAATCTGATGGGTAAAACATGGCATATGTGCTGGTAGAATAAGCATCAGGTGTGCTGACTCCTGGCTCAACTGGCGGGTAACGTGTAGTTCATCAGACTAGTCCACATTTTTCACCTTACATTTTAAAAATATACTAAGAACCAAAATAAATACCATATAATTTTGTAATGTATACGGGCTGATGAATTCTGATCTTCAGCCATAGCTTCTGTTGTTCATCACGATGATTTATCGACATGTTTCACTGCAATCTCGTATGATTAAAGTTGTTTAACCTTGTCGTATTTTGAGGTTATCTCAATATGAGTACACTTTCTTTCGGCATTGGTTGTGAGATTTTGGCTCTGTGTTACTAAACAGTTACAATAAACAGTTAGTACAGAGTTACTTCTCTATGTTACTATCACAGTTAAGTAAGAGTTCATTGATGCAGTTAAGTAAGACTTCATTACAATACTACAGGTGTTCGTGCACGTTCTGTTACTACGGCGTGGTGCTGCTGACGACGGAGCTGCTGGAGGCGAGTGGTGATCTTTGTGGCTCCTATGAGGGCCTGGACGACGCGTCCTCCTGCACCGCCGCCTGCAGGCCTCTCACGCAGGCCGACTACACCGACCTGCTCTGGACTACCTTGGCTGAGTTCCCTGGTCAGTGCTTTATGAAGCGTGAAGAATTAATGATCATTAATTAATATGTAATATTTCAAGGTAATATTACATTTTTTTTAATATTTGTAATATTAATTACAAATTTTTGTAATATTAATTAAGCTATTAATGTAAAGCGAGCATAGCAGGGTGGCTCCAGCCAGGGCTATGTTGCGAAACGTGAAATTTTCGAATCTTCAAACATTCAGCTATTTTTCAACCCTCGCCAGACAGCATAATTTTTCAACCCCCAAAGAAATAATGATCTCTGGAGCACGTACTAGTGATGGAAAAACTGGGGGATAAGAAATAGGGATATGAAAAACAGGTTGCCTAAAATCGGTCAAATCCGAGAACAAAAAAGGCCGATAACTCAATATATACTAGTTTTTTTGTAGGTTCGGCTATAAAAATTCCATTCATTTCCTCTTTGTAGTATTTAAAATATAATTAGGAAGTACCCATATCATAAATTTTAGCCTGCCAACGCAATTGAGAAAAACTAAATCACGGAATTTGTCCGGAAAAATGACCGTCTGGCTTTTCGTGGACTGCATCGACGGTGTCCTTGGGGAACAGGGCTGGCCCGATCAGTGGGGCCTTCACTGGATCTGATACCAAGTCGGAGGGCTGCATGCCCACGGAGACTTCTTCGCGGCATTTAACTTTGTTAACTCCGAGCTCTAATTAGATTGTTTTCGTTCCTCAAACGAAAATATCTCTAGTGTCTTTTTGATGATAAGTATATCAGCTTACCTCTAGTGTCTTTCTGATTGTTTTTTCACTACTGTCTTGCATGAATACTTCTCACCATATTTTTTGTACTATTTTCCTCCAGGGATACTGCTCACCATTTTCATCATCGAGCGTTTAGGTCGCAAGAAGACCATGGCTTTAGAGTTCATCATCTTCACGGCTGCCATCGTATTTCTCTTCTTCTGCGCCTCGGGGTGAGATTGACTTGTCTCCTTCTACATGCTTTGGAATGAAGTGATTGCATGAAAATTTTTTCTTTATGTCTCTAACTATTGCTATTCTTTACCATTGCATATTATGCCTCAATGGAAATTTGTGAGTTAAAACATTATTTATATATTGTCGTATTAAGCCAATATTTGAACTATATATTAAAGTAACTTTTTCTTAGTATGTAACAATTTTTTATGCTAGCCTGAATTTGTACCGTTTCATCTTGATTTAACCGATTAAATGTATTAATAAATACTCGTCTAATCAAGCTTTCCTCGTTCCCACCCTTTGCAATAATTACTACGACTAATTATACGCTGCGAGCAGGCGCGGATGGCTGACATTTATTCTGTTCATCGCCCGTGGCGTCATATCCGGCGTGTTCCAGGCGGCGTACGTCTACACTCCGGAGGTAATTAATAGTACATAAGTGGGAGGTAATTAATAATACATAAATGGAGGTAATTAATAGTACATAAATGGGAGGTAATTAATAGTACATGAATAGGAGGTAATCAATAATATATAAATAGGAGGTAATAATACATAAATGGGAGATAATTAATAATATATAAATAGAACGTAATTGGAAACAAAGCTTGAATATTCGACGGAAAAAAGAGCACCATCAAAAATGGTAATAATGAAGTTTTCACAGGGTCTGAAACACATTTTAAACTTTATCTAAATTTCTAAAGTCTCGGTTAGCATAGCCCCACGCAGTTGCAGTGCACCGCTTTTGAAATTAATTTCAACCTAAAACCGATCTCAGGAGTATTTTGTCCTTCAAAATTAATTTATCTTGTTTGGAAATCGGGAAAGATATTTGTACTCGGCTGGCTATACCTGGCTGTAAATGTCTATATATTATTTAAATTATTTATATTTCTAAATAATTTATTAAAATTAACCGTACTGCTACAGTTTTACCCTACGGGCTGTCAATGCCTATATATTATTGAACTTATTTAATATTTCTAAATAATTTGATAAAATTAAACTTACTACCACAGGTGTACCCTACCGGCTGTCAATGCCTACCTATATATTATTTAAATTATTTAACATTTTTAAATGATTTATTAAAATTGAACTTACTACTGCAGGTGTACCCCACCTCGCTGCGTGCGGTGGGGGTGGGCACGTGTTCAGGTCTGGCGCGTCTGGGGGCGATGCTCACGCCCCTTGTAGCGCAGGTGCTACTCAGGTCCTCTGTACACTTCGCCACGGCCATCTACGCTATTGTCGCCATCCTCGCCGCCGTCGCCGCTCTCTTCTTGCCCATCGAGACCAAGGGCAGGGCCATGACTTGAACTAAATCAACGATTTTTTTCCCCAAATTTAAGATAACGAAGTTAGTGATAAGGAAAACAAAATCCACGAAAATTTCCAAAAAGTTAAGATACCGTAACGATGTTAGTGATATGGAAACCGATTTATTGGAAAATAGAATTTAACAAGGTAGCAAAGGTGTGTTGTAAAGGGAAATATAAAGAAATTGATCGGAATTTTATTGGATTTTTGGCTAGCCGAGACGAAAAATATTTACATCGAGTCCTGGGGAATTTAATGTGAATATGGACTTCATAGCGAAATGATCCATGACATGACGGTGGTGTGAAGAAAATATACAATAAATTAAAGTCTATAAAAGTTGTGTAAACCTGGGTCTAGAATTTCCTCTTTGTCCAGTTGATTGCTCGTAGAATAAATACGTTGGAACTTTAGTTCGTTAGAGGACTGAATATATTCGAGTTTTCAATGAATTTCCGCTTAGAAATGGTTATGACGTGAAAGCCTAGAATTCCCAAAGATAGAAAAGGGCTGTTAGCTGAATTACGGCTTTCAGTAAATCAATTGCATAATATTTTCCAGATGCTATTGATATAAATTTTAACGGTAAAGTAAACATTCAGAGGACAGTTCTTTTATTCGATGAAAAAGTCATGAAGCATTCACAGCTCTCTTGGTCTATTTTACCACGTTTTTTAATTGAATTTTAAAAGATGTTAATTAGGTTCTGAATTTTATAGGCATTTCCAGGTCACTTTTTTTATTATAATTCTGATAACTTGATAGATCTGTCCATAAATTTAGGGCACACTTGCATGGTTTAGAGAGTAAGTGAATTAAATTGCTTTTTTTTCTTCTAATTTAATGTAAATAATCGCACAAATTTTCCTACCTAAGCCATTTATTATCCGTCCTTTGTTAATTAATTCTTGGCTTTATTTTTTTCATATATCTGCTGGTGTTTTATGTTAAAGTTTTAAACGTAGTTATACTTTATTGTGTTTGTATAGCGGTAATGAATTTGATTCAGCAATTGTAATACAATGTAGGGAACGAATATTTAATTTAGTGGTCAACCAACGAGGAGACTATTTATTCCGCTATGTATTTTTTTCTAATTCTTTTAGAATTGTTACTCTATTGAAAGTTTTATACTTTGTATTACATTTGTATCTAATAGACTTAGTATTTATTTTATTATGTTAAAAAAGGGAACATTCTATTTAATCTTGAGCTTAGTTAATGTAATTGACTAAGTCTTGCAATATTTTATTTGTTGAATAAATATAATTGTGTTCATTATGTAAAGGTACCTATATGAAATTGATTTAAACATTTAAAATCGACGACATTTCTTGGTGTGGGAGGTAATTGAAGTCAGATGTGGAAGTCAACAATCGTTTTAGGTCTCGACAAATTTCATTGCTTTTGTCATGACTGATGGAGGCTGTTTTCAGGTACAATTTTTATCAACTATGTCCAAATTGATTATTAAATCTTTTTGAACTATAAATGTGATATGTGTGACAGCGTAACTGAATTTGACTCTGTGTTTGTGCTGGTAACCTTGTACAAGGTTCGGTTGGGGATTGAAGATAATGAGAGCGGCATGCAACGTGAGAGAACCTCGGGGTTCACGAAAACATGCCGTTCTGTTTAAGGTTATTTACCCAGTTGATAAATGAACCTTAGGGTTCAAGAGAACAGGCCTTTATGTTACAGGTTATTTACCCAGTTGGTAAATGAACCTTGGTGTTCAAGAGAATAGGCCGTTCTGTTTCAGGTTATTTACCCAGTCGGTAAATCAACCTTTGGTTTGGTTTGGCCGTTCTGTTACAGGTTATTTACCAGTTGGTAAATGAACCTCAGGGTTCGAGAAAACAGAGTTTTCTATTAGCAAGAATCGAAGACGTTTTGTTTCAATAAACGTGTTATACTCAGACGCACGTCTCCATTGCTACTGAAATGGCGTCTTTTGGAGGGGCACCGTACGACACAAATGGCAGGTTCTGGGTATTGTTTTGTTAATGCTTTGCTGTTCAAATTAGGAAGAGGGAAGGCGTGCGTTTGTTCTGCAACCTTCGCTTTAAGGGAAATGTCGGATTCATATAACCTCAATCTTTATCCAAAAATCTGCCCACCTTTCGTGGCGTGCCGCTCACTTCATCCATGTTTCTCAGCAGGACCCTGTATTATCCTGTACTGTAAAACATGATTTCTACCATCTACATTAGAATAAATACATGCTGTTCTTTTTAATTTGTATTTATCGGCCCCATTGGTATTTCGGCGAGCTCACCAGCGGTCTCGACGGCTTAAAAGATAACTGCAGACTCGAACAGAACTCCAAAGACGTTTCATTTTAATAAACGTGTTATACTCAATCGCGCGCTCATGTCTCCACTGCTACTGAAATGGCGTCGTTTGATGAGAGGTACAGAGTGGAGTACGACACAAATGGCCGGTTCTGGGTTATGTTTTGTTAATGCTTTGCGGTTCAAGTTAGGAAAAGGAAGTCGCTCGTTTGTTCTGCAAGCTTCAAAGGAAATGTCGGATTCATATAACCCCAAAGTCCCCAATCTTTATCCTGTAATGTAAACCATGATTTCTACCATCTATATAAGAATAAATAAATGCTGTTTTTTTTTAATTTGATTTGTCGGCCCTCATAAACCTAATCGGTTTTTCGGCGAGCTCACCAGCGGTCTCGACGGCTTAGTCGAACCTCCACTTTGCGCATGTTTCTGTGAAGATTTAGAATAATTCTGATTTTATTTTTAAGGTCGCAAACATCGACTTTAAATTTCACGTTACTCGACCCTTATTTTGACTAATGGGTCTGGGTCGAGGTCGATTGGTAAAAACGTCTGGATTATCAGAGCTACTCCGAAAAAAAACTTAAAGCAACAAATGGATAATAACTCGTAGTAATTATAAAGATAATAACGAACTAATTATAAAAATTATTCTGAAGTAATTATAAAGATAATAACGAAGTAATTAACGATGGTAACTTGAAATAATTTTAGAGATAGCAACCTGAAGTAATTATAAAAATAGTAACTTGAAATAAGTATAAAAATATCAACTTGAAGTAAGTATAAAGATGGTAACTTGAAGTAATTATAAAGGTAGCAACTTGAAGTAATTATAAATAAAATAACTTGAAGCAATTAAAACGACAATTTGATCGATACCTAAATATGGTCCAATAGTTGCGCTACTGCGAAGCATCCTCGATGAATTGCTGCTTGTGTGGGGTAACGGTCTAGGTAATCGAAACAGAAACTGGTAATTTAGGTGAACAAATGTTAATCTAAGTCAACCGTCTTGGTAATAGAATCAGAAACTTGAAATCAAATTCAACCGAATAGGTTATCGAAAAATGATTCGGCAACACCAGTTAATTGGTATAATTTTCATTAAACAACCGAGTGATATTCACATTATATTTGTCAACATAAGACGAGGGGTTGATTTTTTACAGGAGGGGATTTTTTTTACACGGTTAGTGATTTTTGAGTCCGTGCGGGGCGGTGACACGCTCATGGTAAGGCGCCTTATGGTAGCTCGCATGGTCGCTTAGCATTTTGATTGATTTTTACGTATAGTCAATTATGGTAGTTGTCCCAAAATACTCATTGAAACTTGAACGTTATTCCATACATTCTCGTTTTTCACCCATAACATATGTAAACTTCCTTTGATTGCCAGCGTAGGTTCATCCCACGTTCAAACATTTCCAAAAATTCATGTTCTTTGGCTTATGTTACCAATAAACATGGTTGAACCCTTGGATAAACTCATATTCTTTCATCGAGGTTGTCAGTAATCCTTGTCGGTCTGTATAGGTACAACTGTACCCACACTTATTTGGTACGACGGTAGCGTTATAAAATAATGCAGTCTGGTGGGAGTTCGAAATGGTTGAACGCTTGAGGACTCGTAAATTACATGTTTCTCAACATCGCCCATACATTCTAGTCACAACTTAGGAACAAGAAGCTGCAATCGCCGCTATTCTTCTATTTTTACGGCGCTGTCCAACACCAGGAAGCGCCTCATAGTTCTCTTGCCCACATCAATTTCCCCCTCCTCCTCTTTATACCCTAGCTGTCCAACACCAGGAAGCGCCTCATAGTTCTCTTGCCCACATCAATTTCCCCCTCCTCCTCTTTACCCCCTTCTTCTCCCCTACCTCCTCTTTATCCCCTTCTTCTTCCCCTAACTCCCCTTTACCCTCTTATTCTTCCCCCTCTTCCTCTTTGCTCCCTTCTTCTTCCACGTACGACTTCTTAACCCTCTCCTTCTTCTCCCTAACTCTTCCTTGCTCAATCTTCTTCCCTTACCTCCTCTTTTTACCCTCTTCTTCTTCCCCCTCCTCCTCTTTGCTCCCTTCTTCTTCCCCCTACCTTCTCTTTACCCTCTTCTTCTTCCAACTTTTCCTCTTTACCTCCTTTTTCTTTCCCCTACCTCCTCTTTACCAACTTCTTCCCTACCTCCTCCCCCCCTACTCCTCTTTAACCCTTCTTCTTCCCCTACCTCCTTTATACCCATTGTCATATCACAATATATTACCTTATTTACGTGCAGATTAAGTACAAATCGTTGCCCATGTATTTATTCTTGCAAATATTTTTTTTAAGAAACAAGTGTAATCAAACACGGGTACTCAACCAAATAACAGGAAAAAAACTCAATTAATCTTCTATTTAACTCGAAAGTACGCATTCCGGAAGCTGACATTATTTTAAGTACTTAATAAATATATATTGCGTGTGACATCTAACTTCTGTTTCCTGTACATTTTGACTTGATTGTGAACTGAGTTAATTGCCCATGATTTTAATTATATTCTATGAGAAATTAACACGATATTGCATATACAAGTTCTTGAGAAGCCTCAAGTACAGATCAAACCTTAACCACGTTCTGCAGAAGAATTCTACTTGAAGTGGGGCGTTCTTTTTCTTTGTTCCTATTTTTCTCCACTAATTTTTAATATTTTTGTTCGTCGATATGTTCCGTTACATAATTATCCTAGCAATATTCAGTAATTTTTCGCGTAAAAGATTAATTAGATGGCAGAAGGAACCTTGACTGGTGCCACGCTGTCTTCCGTCTCCCTCGGGCACCACAAAAAATAGAAGTTAATGCCGACACAACATGACTGAACAGTTGTGTCTTCTCGCAACTTCAATTTCTTCATGTACACCAAAACGCTTTATGAATTAGAATTGATCTAGTATTAATATTCACTTCTTGTGTCGCGTAGGAATATCTGTTTTACGTTTTATGCATCCACATGCACGTTTAAGTTGTACATGTACGTAGGTTAGTTTCACCAAGTTTCGCGACATTAACAGTTGGGGCAGCATAACATAGTTGAATATTGAATAATACTTAATATACTTAATAATACTTAATACTTAATAAATAGCATACTTGAATAATCGTAATAGATAGGATGATTGTAAATTCCGTTATAATATTTTTATTGAAATTTATAAGCAAAGATCGAGACAATACTGATTTGGTTTTGTTATTCTGGTCATTAATAAATATTGTTTACTAAGAGAGTTTATTATAAAATATTTATAATACAGTTAAATAGACCAAGTATTTTATCAGCAACGTACCCTATTGAAGGATATCGAACAATAAATCTCCCAGTTTCAAACATTCCGTCGACATATATATGTAGGTATATGTCTCAACATCTGTTTAAATATAGTCTGCACGTTTAACTTTTTGCAATTTTTTACAGATTTTCTAAAATTGTACCTCTCTCAAACGTTACCTTGTACTAGAGTCGCTATTTACAGTGAAGGTCAGACCGATTTAAGTATGCATATATATTAACTGTATTACCAAACGTCTGCCCAGGTACTGTTTCTTACAGCTGTAAACGTCTGCCCAGACACAGACACAGCTGTAAAAACATTCCGTTAGCCACGGTTGATTCGATGAATTTCTCGATCTCGAACCTTCCGCGCTGTCCTTGAGACGCCCATTCAAACTTTGGTGTCCGAAAAAGGCGAGCTTGCCGCATTTCCAGACTTAGATTGTTGAGCGTATATACATCAGTAATAATAAATATGAGTGACTACTTTATTAAAATTCGTGTCAACTTTTTTAGATCGAAAAGGAAATAATCGTAATCACAGTATAAAGTTTTTGAATGAATTTAGGATGAGCATTTTTGTTTTTTTTTTTCGAATGAATTTAGGAAATGCATATATGAATTTTTGCAAGCTGATACAGACGCTCAGATTAAGAACGATTTATATATATAATCGACACGTCATGGTTCATTGTTAGGTACTGTCAAAAATTATGTTGAATTTTGATGATAGTGGTGTGAGATTCGACAGATAAAAATAGAGTAAATATGAGATGAGAACGCATGTGTGATAATTGTTCGGTGTACTCTAATCGATTTATCCCGACGCATTTTTAGATTTTTTTTTTGTGATGGCGTCCTTTGCATATTTTTGCGACGCTATCCTTCATTGTCATAGTGTACGTCGCGGCACACTTAATCATTGCAATCCCCAAAAAAGAGCGAGCACCGTATTAGTAGGCAACGATTAATAACTGTTCGGTCGCCGAAATTTAATTTACCATCGCAATGCAAACTCCAAATCCAAAACTACAAAATTACTACGATCATCAAATTCGATTAATTCTAACTATTAACAGGAGAAATATTGAGCTCGATTCTTCTCGTGTGACGTCATCTCCTAATTTTAGAGCTCACTCCTTTTTTCCTACGTCGGTTTAGGCATCTGACGTAACTTTTACGACGTTAGGGAGCCTCGTTAACGTTGTTACGCAAGCGTTGTTATGGCAGACGTTACACAAGGATTTTGATGAACGACTACCGTTTTTCTATCTTGGATAATAACAGTAGTTTATGAAGCTGCCATGATGTATATATAATGAAGGGAGTTTTAAGAAACATTGCAGTTGTGATAGTGTTTCTCCAGCTATCGGACATTGCACTCCCATAAATATGAATAGTTTATAAGTTGAATTGCTTCCGGAAAATCCCACAGGTAGTTTCGGGATAGTTTTCAGCCCTGAAAACCACAAACTTTTGCATATTTGCAAACTTTCGAAAGTTTTCGCATCCTCGAAATACTTGAAAAAGTTTCAAAATTTGCCTAAATCTAGAAGTACAAAATTCATCTCAATTTTAAAATACTTGAACTCTTAACATTAAGCTGAATGTGTGCACACATTTTTTCGTAATA